GAGGAAGAAAATGACTTGCTCCATACACAAAATGCACTGGCCTGCACATCGAGGACCAGGTCCACCCGTCCTGTTGGCTGGCGCGCAGGACGGGCTCCCCAAGAATCTGGGAGAGGAATGAATATTTTCCCAGTGGGGTAGGGCTCGGAGCTCCTAGAAACGTGAACTCCGTGGTCTGTGGTTGGTCAATGACCTTGAGAGACAAGGAGGACATGGAAGGTGCTGCTCCCTACAAAATATCTTTGACCTGTTTGATGTCTGGTCTCCCCACATGGGTCCAGCAGTGCCCAGTGTGAGAAGAACATGCTGGCAGGAAGGTGCTAACCTCTCACACAGGACACAGGGGAGTAAGCACAACCTACCTACCCACATGCACTTACAACTTCTTCCTACGCTCAGAATGTTTCTCTACTTCCTCTGAGAAGCAAAAAAGGCTCCCACATCTCCCCACTGCAGAGGATCCCTGGAGTCCCAGCAGCAGTAACAGCAGCCAACATTTTGTGAGTGCTGACTGTATGCCAGGCACTGTTCTAAGCGCTTTAAATGTATACATTTACTTAATCCTCTCCAACACCCATGCAGATCGAAACGAACACTACTTCCATCTTGCAGAAGCTGGCGCCCCAGGCTGTGAGGGGCAGCCGGAACTGCACGCCGGGGGGTCCCTACGGTAACTGCTATCCCTGCACTGCTCCACTGTCTCCCACCAGTGAGGGGGACTTTGACAAATGTTTCCTGCAGTTTGTAATACCTTAAAAATGTTTTCTCAAGTATAAAATGTTAACACTGAATGTGCTTTTTCAAATGAGTTTCTCTTAGAGACTCTGATACAACCTTCCTCATCATAACTCATTGAGTTAGGACTTCAAGCACCTCCATAATAAAAGAAAGCAAACACATATGGAATTTCTCTTTGGTCTCTTGTAGTTACGTCTTTATTTATTTTAAGGATCTGAGAAAAATACCGTCAAAAAAGTTAAAGCTGAAAGTGGTGGTGCATGCCTGTAATGCCAGCTACTCAGGAGGCCGAGGCGGGAGGATCGCTTTAGGCCAGGAGTTCAAAATCAGTCTGGGAAACACAGTGAAATTCTGTCTCTTAAAAACAAAAGAGGAAATTTAAATATTATTGAGAACCAAAAGGTAGGAAGTTTTGACTTCAGAAAGACAGTTCTACAAATGAAAGGAAAAGCGACATCAAAACCCACATTTTGATATTACCCTGGTGGAAATGAAGTGCTCTGTGAATTGAACCTTCGAGAAGCAGACCAAAGGGAGGCTGAGGGAAGAAGAGAAACACAGATCATTACTATTAATACTACAAATGCAAATTGCCCTTTACGATGCTAAATGCACGACTGTTGCTCCTGGTATGTGGTATAAACCACTGCATGACAGCCTGCCCACAGAAACACCTAGGTGAGCAAAAGTACAAGAACATCACTTACAGCTACTGGTTATATGTGTTGAGATCAGTTTGCCACACCATCTACAAGCGCCTCAGACCAGAACCTCCCGCCCACTAACTCATGCCTTGACTAACTGCCCAGTAGGTTCAGACCCTGTTCTGTGTCCAAGTGTGGGAGCAGCCTCCAGGATGGCGCTGCTGAGCCGCACCTCCTGCTATTCTTACCCCATCGGCCCACTGGGAGTGGTCTGTGTGTCTGACAGCTTGTGGCAGACGTGCTAGCACGTGGGTTCTGGGATTAGGTGATAACCAACTGGGACTTCCATCTTGGATGCCCGCGCTCACCCTCTCTGACCACTGGCCCTAGGGCTGCCCTGCTGTAAGCAGCCCTACCTAGAGGTCCACGTGGTGGGGAACTGGGCCTGTCGCCAACACCCACAGGAATGACCTTGCAGGTGGATTCTCCAGCCGCTGGCGCAGCAGAGTCTTGAGATAACTACAGCCCCTGCAGACTTGCTTGCTGCAAGCTAAGACCCTGAGCCAGCACCAGCCACCTAAGCTGCTCCTGTGTTCTTGACTCTCAGAACTGGTGTGAGTTAATAAATGTTTTAAGCTGCTAAGTTGTGGGGTCATTTCTGATGTAACCGTAGATAACGAATACCAGGAACATACCAGGGAACAAAGACATTCAGTCTACTGAGAAGACAGGGGCTCAAAGTAAGTGCTTAGGTGTAAAAAGCAGAGAACAGTTTCTCAATAATCACTTTTAACTCAGCTATAATTTACACACCATAAAAACCACCCTTTTACAGTTCACCCATTAGCACTGGCTCCCCATTTGCGTTTCCTCGGCTGCCTTCTCCTCTCCTCTCCCATTTGGGCTCCTGGGGCTCAACCCTTGGCCTTGACTTCTTTTCCGCCCATGGCCATTCCTCTGGTGACTGCATCCAGTCCGATGGATTTAAACGCCCCCAATGTGCTGGCGACTCCCAAGTTTACACCTCCAGCCAGGGCGTCTCTCCTGGATTTGCATGCCCACCTGTCTATCTGCCTTAGCCACTCATGTCTGACGTGCACCTCACACCTCCAGAGGTTCCTCATTTCTTCCCATGCCTGCTTCTCCCACACTCCTCCCTCTCTCATGAGGGCAACTTCATCCTCCCAGTTGTTCAGGCCCCAAACCTCCATCAGTTTTGACCCTTCTCTCGCACACTACTCAGCCAACCCATTCAGCAAATCCATCTCACTATTAAAGACTTAGTAGGCTTCTGTAACTAATTTGCTTCTAGCTTTGTCTTTGGGTCCACAGGGAACAAACACTCTCCCACAGGATTTCCTTTAGATCGTCCTGGAGACTGTGACTGTGTACTTCCATCCTGTCTCCTTTGCTCACTCTTCAAGGCCTCAGCTGCTCACTGTTTTGGTCATCTTGTCTCTACTCACTTCACTGTGTGTCTTTCTCTTTTAACGCGTAAGTCGACACTTGAACGTAGCATTGGAGGGGTGGTTTCATGTAGGTAGGTAGAATGGAGTAAGCCCCACTGCTTTTGTGAAAACTTTCCTGCCTACTTAAACCTAAGTTTTATTATGGAAAATGTCAAGCATACAAAAGTAAAGAGAACAGAATACTGAACTCTCTCTCAATTATCCCTTTCCAGGTTCAACAGTTACCAACTCACGGCCAATGTTGGCATCTACATTGCCTCTGGCCCAACTCTGATTATTATTACTTTCTTAATAGACTTTATTTTTCAGTCAGTTTTAGTTTCACACCAAAATTGAGTGGAAGGTACAGAGAGTTCCCATATGTCCCCTGTCCATGTGCCCATAGCTTCCTATCAACATCCCTCACCAGAGTGGTACAATCCTTACAACTGATGAACCTACATTGACACATCATTGTTATCCAAAGTCCATAGTTTACATTAGGGTTCGCCCTTGGTGGTGTACATTCTATGGATTTGGACCAACTTATAATGACATGTATCTACCATTATATCATACAGAATAGTTTCACTGCCCTAAAAATCCTCTGAGCTCCACCTATTCATCCTTTTCTCCCCCAATCCCCTTACGCCCCATCTATCTTTTTACTGTCTCCTTAGATTTGCCTTTTCCAGAATGTCAAAGGCTACAAGATGTAGCCTTTTCAAGTTGGCTTCTTTTACTTAGTAACAGGTATGTAAGTTTCCTCCATCTCTCTTCATGACTCATTTCTTTTTATTGCTGAATAATATTCCACTGTATGCATGTGCTACAGTTTATGTAACCATTCATCTCCTGAAGGACATCTGGGTTGCTTCCAAGTTTTGGGAATTATGGAACAATTCTTTTAATATTGTCCAATATAGAGTTAGATCCAGTTTTTCATTTTTGGGATCATGGTGAGACATGAGACCCAGGTTTAAAACATACGTAAATACTCGTGCACACAAACACACACTCCAACCATTTTCAGGCAGAGATTTATAGAGTTTTTAACGAATATAACCGTTTTGGAGGCTCGTATCAGCCCAGTGCCTTAAATATGGCTGTTTCTTTTGCTGAATGAGTTCAGATTAGGCGAGGATATCCATCATCATTTTTCAGACCGGCTCGCAGCCTGAGGGCAGTGGTTCAAGCACATGCTTTGGAGCCGAAATGACTGAGCCTGAAGCACTCTTCCTCCACTTCCCCGCTGTGTGACCCTGGGCACGTTACCTAGCTCCTCTGAGCCTCACTCTGCTCCCCCATAACATAGGAGCTATACCAAAGTTCAAGGGCTATTGCCAGTATTCAGGCTACTAACTGAAGGAATCAGAATCTGAATCTGGGTTTCCCCTAAGGGAGGAGACCACTCCTCATATTGTCTTATGCCCAATTTCTGCCTCCAAAGAAAGAAGTAAAAACTAAAAGGCAGAAACGAAATCCACAGGCAGACAGCCCGGCGCTGCACCCTGGGCCTGGTAGTTAAAGATCCACCCCTGACCTAATTGGTTCTGTTATCTATAGATTACAGACATTGTACAGAAATGTACTGTGAAAATCCCTATTTTGTTTTGTTCTGATCTAATTACCGGTGCATGCAGCCTCCAGTCACGTACCCACTGCTGGCTCAATCAATCACGACCTCCTCACACGTACCCCCTTAGAGTTGTGAGCCCTTAAAAGGGACAGGAATTGCTCACTCGGAGAGCTCGGCTCTTGAGACAGAAGTCTTGCCGATGCCCCCGGCCGAATAAACCCCTTCCTTCTTTAACTCGGTGTCTGAGGACTTTTGTCTGCGGCTCCTCCTGCTACACCCCGACTCCAAAACCCGTGCTATATTCACCACAAATGCGATCAACACACAAGGCACCAGGTCGGACCCAGGCACATACGTGGCGAGACCGCAGGGAGCAGCGCTCGCTCTGCGTCCTCCCTTCCCCCCATATCCCGGGTCTCACCTGCTCCGGGCCCCGAAGGTCTCAGGATGCTGCGGCTGCACGCGGACACCAGCCGCCCTAAGGTGACCGTCAAGGGGGATGCTGCCATGGCGGCCGCCATTTTCCCGCAGCCTCGGCCGGAAACGGAAATGACGCAAAGCGCGTGCGTAACTCACGGGCCCGTCGGGGAACACAGGTCGTGCTGTAACACCTGCCGCGCTGTAACACCGGCCCGGCGCGGAAGCTGGACGTCGGCGACTCGGGGCCCAGACTGGCGGCGGCGATGGCCTCGGCGGCTGTGGAGAGCTTCGTGACCAAGCAGCTGGACCTGCTGGAGCTCGAGAGAGACGCGGAGGTGGAGGAGCGCAGGTACGGGCGGCCGCCGGCGCCGCTCCCTCGCGGTTGGTCCAGCCGTGCCCCGGGCAGGGTCTCCGAGGGGCTCGGCCTCACAGTCTAGGGCGGGAATTTCGTCTCCGACCCCTGGAGTCCGGGTCAGGGACCGTCCGTCCCCTGCTTGGCCACCTCCCGAGTTGTCAGTCTCATCACCTCCCGGGCAGCGCGTTCCGTTTTGGGCCTAAGGAGACGCACTTTCATTTCTCGACCCGAGACCCCCCTAAGCTAACACTCCTGGGCCCTGGCCCCGACCCCAGTTCCACCCGCAGCGGGTTAGCAGCCCTTTCCCTTATTCATTCAGTAAACATGGTTTGCGCCCCTTCTGGGCCAGGCCCCGGCAGCGTGAGTCAGGTGCACTGGCTGTCCCCGATCCGGCCAACGGCGGGCTGGGCGTGAGCAGAGTCCCTTCCCCTCCAGCGCGTCCAGGGCCGGCTGCGTGCGTGTGGCGGGGAAATATCCTGGAGGAGGAACGCTCTTCCCTGGGGAGGGTCAAGGTGGATTCAGGAGGAAGTGGTGCCTGAAGGAAAATTGGAGTTCAGCCGGTGGATGCGGGGTGGGGTGGGGAGCCAAGTGAGAGCCGGGCTTGTTTCCGAATGGGACTATTTATTTGTCCAAAACAATCAGAGCTAACATTTATATACTCTCCATGCGTTAATTCCTTTACACCTCATCCCATGCCAACCCTACAATGTAGGTTTTTTATTTTTTAGACAGTCTCGCTCTGTCGCCCAGGCTGGAGTGCAGTGGCACAATCTCAGCTCACTGCAGCCTCCACCTCCCAGGTTCAAGCGATTCTTCTGCCCCAGCCTCCTGAGTAGCTGGGATTACAGGCACGCACCACCACGGCCGGCTAATTTTTTTGTATTTTTGGTAGAGATGGATTTCACCATGTTGGCCAGGATGGTCTTGATCTGCTGACCTCGCGGTCTGCCCGCCTTGGCCTCCCAAAGTGTCGGGATTAGGGACGCTAGCCACCGCGCCCGGCCACAGTGTAGGTTTCTATTACTATCATTTTCCATCTAAGGAGATGGAGACAGAGAGGGGTTAAGTAACTTGCCCCAGGGTGACACACTATAGCCCCATTTGCTGTCAGGCAGTCTGCTTCCAGAGTTTGCAGTCAGCCATCCGTCGGTAGGATTTGTCTGAGATGCTTTTGATCATGGCAATAGAGAACTTTTGCAGTTATGTTGACTTTATTAGAATCCCAGCTGCTTCATTTATGGCTGTGTGACTCTGCGGGTTCTTTCTCTGAGCCTTACTTCAACTGTAAAACTGGGATGATTCCCACCTCACAGCCTTGCTCTGAGAATGAAACGATCCCCTGTCAGTCAGGTGCTCAGCACGGTGTCAAGGACAGAGTCAGCCCCCATGGCAGTGGCTCTTTCTGAGCATGCTGAGCAGACTGGCAGGGCGAGCCTGGGAAGGGCCTGGCTGAGGAGCTAGCCTTCTGTTCTGTGTGTGGAGGATGGGCCATCAGCGGGGTTAAGCAGGCGAGGGAGGCGAATAGATTTGCATTTTAGGAGGATCTCTTGGGTCTCCTGCTTTTGATTGGACCTGGAGAAGCCAGAGGTAAGGTAGTTGAGAGGTTCCGTTTAGTCCAGGTGAGCAGTGATGTGAATTTGAACCGGGGCTGTGGCGGCCAGGATGAGAGGCAGAGAAGTCCAGGTGGAAATGGGAGGGGCCTGATAGGACTTAGTGACAGATGGGAGTAGAGAGGGGAATGCTGATTGAAGGATCTGTCTCAGGTACCTGGGAGAAGGGTTGCGGCATTAACTACCCTAGGGGGATATAGGAGGAACGGGATTGGGAGTGGGGCAGATTCAGAGTTCTATTGGGACATATTTAGTGCCCATGAGTAGATCTTTTTCTATGTTTCTTTCCCTTTTACTTTTTTGGGTGGGTGGAAGTAGAAATTGGTGAAAATCCTGAAGCATCAATACCGGGTATCTTTCAGGTCCTGGCAGGAGAACATCTCTCTGAAAGAGCTCCAGAGCCGAGGCGTGTGTTTGCTGAAGCTCCAGGTATCCAGCCAGCGCACTGGGCTGTATGGACGGCTGCTGGTCACCTTTGAGCCCAGGCGATGCGGGTCTGTGGCAGCTCTTCCCAGTAACAGCTTTACTTCTGGTGTGTGCGTATTGACCTAGACAGACATTGAAATTTACTGGCATTCAGACCACAAATTGTACCCTCATAAAGACTGGATTACAGTGACCAGTTGGAGAATAAAGCATTTCAATGAAGAGCTCTTAATCAGAAGTCCAACAATTGATGTGGGTTTTAGTTGTCTAGATCAGCATTGTCTAAAACGGTAGCCATTAGCCATACGTGGTCACTGAATGTTTGAAGTGTGGCTCATGATTGCTGTAGATACAGAATACACACCAGATTTGGAAGATTATGTTAAAAAACAATTGGGATTATCCTGAGTAATTTTTCTAAATACTGATTATATGCTGAAATAATAGTTTTCGTATATTGGGTTAAATAAGATATGTTGTTATTAAAATAATTTACCCATTTCTCTCTTTTTTTTTTTTTCTTTTGAGACAGAGTTTTGCTCTTGTTGCCCAGTCTGGAGTGCAGTGGCGTGATCTCAGCTCACTGCAACCACCACCTCCCAGGTTCAAGTGATTCTCCTGCCTCAGCCTCCCGAGCAGCTGGGATTAGAGGCATGCGCCACCTTGCCTGGCTAATTTTGTATTTTTAGTAGATGACAGGGTTTCTGTCCATGTTGGGTCAGGCACTGCTCGAACAACGTTCTCCCAACCTCAGGTGATCCGCTTGCCTGGCTCCCAAAGTGCTGGGAATTAGCAGGCG